GATGCACCTGTATGTATATATATATATATATATATATGTGTGTTTGTGTGTGTATTTCTTCTAAAATGAGCAGTTTTATCCTATGTGTGGGTTCAGTACTTTCACTTTAAGTAAATAGGTTGTTTTCATTGCCATTAAAGTGAAATAACTGAACATAAATATATGAGCCTGAGAAAAATGCTAATTTTAGAAGAAATTTTCGAACGGTACTTGAGGCTTCTGCATCTGAACTCTTCGTATTATAACTTTTATCTGCAGAATATTTACTTTGACGTTAAAAAAAAAAAACTTTTCTGGTGTCTCTCATTTACAGATGTTTTAATCATATACCTATTTTAAATAAATATTGCTTAAAGAGTAAATAAATAAAGGTCCCGGAAACGATTCTTCTTGGGGGCGCTACATTCCAGACGTACAGACTATAGGAATGAATGCATGAGGACTTCAACTTGAACTGTTACATAACCTAACCCGCAATCCCTGCCTACCTTTCTACGTACTGGGTCTGTTCTTAAGTGCCTTTTACAAGCACCGCCAGCAAACAGTAGACACGCTGCTGGCGGGACACCTCGCAATGCGTCAGCTGACTACAGAGGATCTGAAGACCCTGGAAGTAGATCTTAAAAACTACTTTCCACAGTCGCTGCAGGTTTGAAAGCGTTTATTGAGCTAATAAAGCAGCTCACTTTGCAATGGTCATGTTTGTTCCTGTTAAAATTCATAGATTGATCTACACGCTAATTAACTGTCACTGATAGCAGTAAGTCATTATTTGTGGCGCTTTAATGTTCTGTAGGCGTTTTCCCAAACATTTAATACATGGTCTTTTTTCTGTCCTGAATATACAGGTATATGGATTTATTGTCCAACTCAACAGGAATGTACAGAGAGCTGATCCTGTTAGTGTGCTTGTTGACCAGTGGCCAGAGTTCAGAGTTTTACTTATTAAACCAGAATTCCGTGAGGTAGGCTATCAGGAATATTGCGAAATATAAATGCTTAGTTGAATGTTTCACAGTGATTTATGAGAGATTCAACAATCCATTCCTTTATTTATTTAATTTTAGAAGGGAGACCTTTTCAAAGACTTGACTGTGTTTTCAAAAAACGATGTCTACCTCAGAGACCTGCTGGCACATTCAGATGTCATTGATTGGAAGATGTTTATTTGCTTGGGTACTTGCATCTCCCTTTTGTCTTTATTTTAACATTAGTATGAATCTCTGAAAATCTTTAAGGCCTCAAACACCTGTTCCTTTTTAAACTGTCTTAAGCCGCTGAGCTTCATCATGAGAAGATGCTGGAAGCCGTGGCAATAAACAGAGGTGTACCTATGAAGAAAGAAGCTGTGTGCTACATGTTGGTTCTTCGAGATCCATCAAAACTCTTACACGTTGATAGGTGAAGTATATGAACTGTAATCATTAACGTCACACTTCAGACACCATTTTATGACAGGTCATAGTTTAAGCCATGCTACATTGCAGTAATATGTCACTGACTACAAGCACTGTAACTGAAACTTGTAAATGGCTGTTTAGTTGTCATCATCATTGTATTTACCTTTTAACCCCCTGGTGGTCTTTTTATGTCTTTTACATTTTGAATTTTTTGCTGTGCTTGTTGTCTGAAAAAACAATAGTGGACATAACTACATAATGGTAAATGGTTTTAAAAATAACCAATTTTTGGGGTACAGTCTACAAAAAAAGCCACGATAAAGTAGTCTTTGATAATGCAAAACCTAATAAAATTGCATCTGAAAATACTCTAAGCAACCAGACAATATTTTTAAATATTTGTATTATGTAGAAATAAATTGCACATAATTTAGAGGTGAATATTGTCTAATACTATGAAATATTCTCAAAATACTAAATATGTAAGAAAATGCAGTACATTCATTTCATTAAAAAAAAGTTGTTTATTTGATTGTTTTGACTTTTTTTTTCTTTTCCCCACAGTTCATCACTGAAGTTGTCTTCTCTCAATGAGTCTCATGTTGAGCTAGTCAACCGTAGCTGGAAGTTTGGCTGTGAAGACAGCAAACTAATGATTAAGAATATGATTTTGAACTTCCCCTCTTGTTGTGTCCTGGACTCAGATGATCAGCCGGTAGCATGGATTTTAACTTATGCTTCCTGTGCACTGGGAATGCTGTACACACTTCCAGAACACAGAGGAAAAGGCTATGCAAAAGCACTGGTCACCATTATGTCAAAGAGACTCCACTCTCAGGGTTATCCAGTGTACTGTTTTATAGAGGAAGAGAACCATTTATCCTACAGCCTCTTCACAAGCCTGGGTTTCACAGAAGAACCGGATTATAGGGCAGCCTGGTTCGTCTTTAATGATTTTTAATTGGGTCCCATCAGAGCAGCCAATCACAGTTGTTTAGCTTCTGTCTGAGATGCTATATAGAGTTATGTACAATCGTTTCTTTTTTTTTTTTTACTTTTAAAAACGTCCACAAGGCCACCATCAACAACAAAAATAATTGATTAATTAAAAAAAATCCATGAATAAAATGTGTAAAACAACTGTTTATTTTTTGTATCAAATATAAAATATTTAGTTGAGCAACACATTGTGTAGCATCAGCTAGATTTGTTATACTAGTTAAAGGCATCTTATTTTTCTGCATATTCTTCTAGTCGAAGCAGCCATTTCTCCCAGAATGGCATAATCTGCTCTGAGTTCAGGAAGTGAGCATGTGCGGGTGATCCATCTTTGTAGGCCACCACAATTAAGCCGTTTTCTACCTGTACATAAATTACATAAGATGGAAGACTTCAATGAAGAATACATGTATGCATTTAGCAGATGCTTTTATCCAAAGCAACCTACAAAAGAGGAACAAAAGCAATTTGTCAAGCAGCTAATAATAATCATAATATAGAATGACTGGTGTATTTGGCAGGTAGATTAGGAAGCAAGCTAGAGAAGAAAAGAAAACTCCAACAATCCATTTGTAATACCTAGTATTACAATCCATCACAGAAGATCCGTACACAAATGGTCAGACAAAAATGTATCCACCAGATATTAACACGTGACCACTTATAAACGGCCCAGCCATTTCATGGCTATACACATTACCATTCAAAAATTTGGGGTCGGTAAGATTTAAAAATACAGTAAATGTGTCAAATATTATTACAATTTTAAAGAACTATATTTATTGTAATATATTTTTGAAATGTCATTTAGTCTTGTGATAGCAAAGCTGAATTTTCAGCAGCCATTACTCCAGTCTTCAGTGTCACATGATCCTTCAGAAATCATTCTAATATGCTGATTTGGTGCCCAATAAACATTTCTAATTATTATTAAAACTGAAAACAGTTGTGCTGCTTCATATTTCTGTGGAAACTGGGATAGATTTTTTTTTTCAGGACTCTTTGATAAACAATTTTCAAAAGGACTGTGTTTATTATTATTTCATAACATTAGAAATGTATTTTCTTTAACATTTGATCAATTTAATGCATACTTGCTGAATAAAAGTATTAATTTCTCTTACTGACCCTAAACATTTGTACAGTAGTTTTTGTATAGACTTCGGATCTTAATACCAGGTGTAAAATGTGTTGTAGTGATGTTTACCTGGTAGTTGTAGTTGTGGTCACTGTTCAAAGCTCCTATGTACGCAGCTACTTGTAATGGATTGTCGTAAGTGTGGCGAAGGAAGGGCTTAGGCTTCTCTGAGGTCTTCCAGTCAATGACACACAGTGAACCTCTGTATGAAAATTCAACATGACCATGATGTGTGTGTGTGTGTGTGTGTATACACACATTCATAGGCTATACATTCAAAAAAAAAGTGCATGGTGATTATAAATTAACAAAATGAATCTCACCTATATTCAGCAACGCAATCTACAATGCCAAGGTACCGTAATGCAGAATGATGCACAACACTCTCAATAGCTCTCGCTCCTGTTATATCGTTCAACACATTAGATACACTCTCTATATGTCCGGACACCTCTGCTGGACACTCATGGTCCTCCTTAGAAGAGGTTTCCTGTGTGAAAGTGTCCTCAATGGCAGCATGGAACAGCTTTCCTAGTCTGAAAATATCTAAAACATCACACAGATGAATTAGAAGGTGTTATTCTTTTAAAAAAGCAATAATGAAAAAAAATGTATATTCTTACTCAAGCTGTATTCTCGAAACCCTTCCTCTCCGAGTTCAGCAATCATCCTTCTCTTCCACCTTTCCAGGTAAAAGGCTTGGTCAGGCGGCATGGTCTTCTGAAGGATTCGGGTCACACTGGGTATAGATGTCTTATTAGAGTCTCTCTTAAATGCTATACGAGCCAAAGGTCCCGGCACATACTCCGACTGACCCGACTGACCCTTGGCATCATTTAACAGTGGATGCAGGTTTTTAGGTACTTTGGGATGTTGTGAAGGCGGTCTGGATGATCTTTTTATAGGTCCGTACAGCTGACAGTCCTCATCCTCGATGCTTTCAGGAGTCTGGGAGCTGGTTTTTGACGACAACACCTCTCGCACCAGAGATGAGTACCGCTCTGTGTCCACTGTGCTGTTCTGACTGACCTTTTTGCGTGCTCGCCATTGACAGCTGGTTGAAAAGTTATCCACACGCGAGAACTGACCAGAGGGGAAGCCCATTGATCTCACACACTTGCATTGTATAACCAGCTTCAATACTTGCATTGTGATCGCCATACGTGATGTTCTTATCCCGTTTCTGTAGTAATTGTTGCGGCTATCTGCGCATGCTTTGGAAAACGGACAGATCAATCAAAATAAATAAACGTTTTATAAAAAAAAGTTTTGGAGTGGATTAGCCATCGTGAGGTTGTTGCATTCCGGTGTTTCAAATGGAGCGCAATTTGAACTGGATCTACTGGGGGAATTATGGGAATTGTAGTTCGAACTGCATCGAAAGTAGGTTTAACACGTTACCATAAAACACCATTTCCCACAATGCAACTTTTTGGTATAGACTTTAAAAATATCCTAGATTTTTATTGACAGCCAACACATAAGATATGTATAAATATGTATATAGGCTCACATTTCCAAATAAAACAATTGTATTGAAATCACTCGAAGCTTTTCAACACGTTACTACCACCTGGTGGTCAAAACGTTAAGCAACTGTACACAACAGCTTCTCAAACGTCATAACATATTGTTAATATAGTCGTTAACTACTTTTACAGATTTGCAAACTAGGTATGTAATAAGATTTTCTCTCTTTTCACGGGGTTTTGTCAACAATTCAACCAATTTAAGTTTTAAAGACTTTTATTTTGACGTGCTGCCAGAAAAATATTCGAGCCGGATGTGAACAGTGACAGGCGAAAGTGGCGAGTGAAAAGCAGCGAGCTGTTGAAAAGTTAAAAGTACAGTTTAATGTACAACCCAGAGACGATAAAATAAGCGAAAGATTTTCTGAACATGACATCTATCTCAGAGGACAGTGACAAGGAGAAGGTAAGTGCTGTCACATCTCTCTAGTGTAAAGATAAAGCATATTATTTGATGTTTTAAGCAGGTTGCATACTAACCGCCCAGCTCTGTTTGCACTTTATAGTGAGTAATCGTACGATTGTCACACTCACTCATAGCATTAACTCTTTACTAGCTGTTCCTCAATAATAACTACAAAACCGTTTTAAAATAGTCGTCGTATCTATCTGTCTGTCTGTCTGTCTGTCTAACAATAATTATATTGTTTTAGCTAGTTGCCAGTGTAGTTATACTGTAGTGATATTGGCCAATACGTTAGTTGTATTAGTTTTGTAGTTGTATTGTACTTGGTATTCTCTTTTCTGCAGAAATGATTTGAGGAAATTTCTCTTTTTCTGAACTCTTTTCCAAACTACTGTTACGGTGTGTGGGATAGGTGACTGAATAAGTTTTCTTTGCTAACATGGTTTTTGAACAGAGTTCGTGAGTTTATAAGCATAGACAGCAGAATAAAATATTTTAGCATTTTTTTCCACCGAGACTGTTCAAAAGACGGACTCTACATGACATGACTAACGTTATAGTTCTCAGTCTTTGTTTGAAGCTCTCTTCTTGATTTGTCACAAGATGATTAAGTTTTCAACAAATCATGTTTTTATATAGGTGCGCTCTGTGTCAGTCGACTTGAACAACGATGCATCTCTCGTAATTGATATCCCTGATGCACTCTGTGAACGTGACAAAGTCAAATTTACCGTCCACACCAAGGTGAGACAACAGATCATATTTATAATCATTCAAATAAGTCAGTTACTTGCACACATTCATGTATTTCACAGTGTAACTTACCGTGATCTGTAGTAGTGGAGGACAGTATATCTTTGACTCATGGTGTCGATTTGCTCTTCACTTCCTCTCAGACCACGCTTAGTTCCTTTCAGAAGCCGGAATTTTCTGTGCCACGACAGCATGAAGAATTCATCTGGCTTCATGACACAATCGTGGAGACTGAGGAATATGCTGGCCTCATTGTAAGTTAAAATCCATATTCATATTGTCTAGATTTATGAAAGCTCATCATCAGCAACAGGCATTCTGTCGGCCAACATGAAAACCACAAAGTTTCTCTACTGACCATCAGTCTGCATTGTAGACTGTTGGAATAGCTAAATGTCTTGCATTTACCATATTCCTTAGATTCCTCCTGCCCCACCAAAACCTGACTTTGAGGGTCCCCGGGAGAAGATGCATAAATTGGGAGAGGGGGAATCGAGCATGACAAAGGAGGAATATGCCAAAATGAAGCAGGAACTTGAGGCGTGAGTTTAATTCTAAATTATATTTTTATATTTTTACTATTTTTTTGCACATCCTTGTGGCATTACTGACATTTAAAAGTATATATTTAAAACATTGTATCCTTTCAGGGAATATCTTGCTGTTTTTAAGAAGACTGTGCAGGTTCATGAAGTTTTTCTTCAGAGACTCTCCTCCCACCCCATCTTCAGAAAGGACAGAAACTTCCAGATATTCCTGGAATACGACCAGGATGTGAGTCTTCCATTTTGTCTTGGCCAGTCCTATTCTTCCCAGACCAGGAAACAGAGAGACAGTGAGAGGGACTGTTGGCACTGCTTATTTCCTGCGACGCTGCAATGTTGGCAGTTTATACACAAATGGAGAGAGAGAGAGCGGAGGATGAGTGCAGAAGATATAGAGGGAGGAGATGAGAGGATATTACTCTGAGGGCCACTTCTTGCTTAGTTCAGTGCAAAAACGGTCTCTGACTGGACAACTGTTTTTGCTGATATAAATATATATACATATAGGAAAAAGTCTCTTTAAACTCAGCCAAAACCCATAAGTCTTGTATTGCACTAAGTGTCAGTTATACTGATAACAAAGACAAGTGACCTCCTTGGATCTCAGGCAGTGGCGATAAAGAGTGCGCACTATGGTTCTGCCTTCTGATCGGTTCATATTGTGCTTGACTCTGTAATCCTCTTCTCATTTGTTGTTTAGCTCAGCGTGAGGAGGAAAAATGCCAAGGAAATGTTTGGAGGGTTCTTTAAGAACATGGTAAAGAGTGCTGATGAGGTCCTCATCTCAGGAGTCAAGGTCAGTATGCCAATCAACTCTCTGTGGGTGTGTTTTTATTGATATCAACACAAGGCAGCAGTGTTCTGTCTCATGTCATGATATGTCCGTTTTTTAACTTTCTTTTTGCAGGAGGTTGATGAGTTTTTTGAACAGGAGAAGACTTTTCTGTTGGATTATTCCAGTAAAATCAAAGATGCCTCTGCTAAGGCTGAGAAAATGACGCGTTCACACAAAAGTGAGACCATTTCATCCAAATGAATCAACTGGCTACAAGTATTTTGGCTTTTTGTTAATGCTAAGAGACATTCTTATTCACAAAAAGATTGTCTTTCTTTTCTAAGATGTTGCTGATGATTATAACCACATTTCTGGGGCTCTGAACAGCACTGCTGCAGACAACAACACTGCCTTTAAAAAGTGAGAAATATATTATATTTCATATTGTTTGCAGTAAAAACACCATTTAGCGAAGGACAGTAATAAATGTATGATTCGTTAAAGGGCATACTTAATTGATAGGCAAGTGAAACAAGCTCCTTAGTGTAGTTAGTAGTTGTTAACAGTCAGTACTGTTATACACTGTCTGGCCAAAAAACGTTGGCAATAATAAAGAGTCAAGGATCTGATTATTATTGCAGTGATTAATATGTTTCTGGCATGTTGTATGTTTGGCAACAATTCTTTTAACCCTAACTGATGCAGTGTGTAGCTTTTTATTTCTCAATCAACCATGTTGGAAGACGTACCCATGTCCATATTACAGGATGACAATGTCTAGATTCATTGGGCACAAATTGTGAAATAGGGGTTCTGTGAGCATGAGGAATCATTTTCACGTATGAATTGGCAATCACTGAAAGTTTTTGGGATGTGCTGATGACTCTTGATGGAAATAATGTTGTGATGCATAACGTTGTCAAAACAATACCACAACAAAAGCATAGTATTACCAAATCTGAAGGTCAAATGAAATCTTTCACAATTTGAACCTGGTGAATCTTGACATTATCATCATGGAATATGTACACGGGTACATCTTCCAACTTGATAGTTTGAGAAATAAAAAGCTACACACTGCATCAGTTAGGATTAAAAGAATTGTTGCCAAACATACAACATGCCAGAAACATATTAATCACATATTTGCTTATTTACATCTAGACGGTGACTTTTTTTTGCAGTGTATGTGTATTTTTTAATGTCTTTTATGGCTCAATGATGAACAATTAAAACATAAAAAATATAAAAAAATTTATATATATATATATATATTTAAATATATATAAATCGACACATTTAAACATGTAAGTCAGAAAAATTTCAAACAACAGTAATTTTAAACAACAGTTTTTTTACTAAATCTTTTTTTCTCCTTCCAGGCACTTAGAAAAATATGCTGAAGTGTTTGAAAAGCTTAGAGTGAGTATCTGTATAGGATCTATCTTACCAACCTAATTTTTATTTACTTTCATAGGACCATAAGTGTGTGTGTTTTGCAGAAATTGGAGGACAGGGTGGCATCAGATCAGGAGCTCAAGCTGACAGAATTGTTGAGATACTACACAAGGGACATCCAGGCTGCCAAGGTGACACCTTCCTGTTTGTGTTATTTCAGTTGTGTAACACTACATTGGTTACAAGCACTGGATTGTATAATTCAACCAAATGTATTAGATTTTATATTTTATAGTTATTTCCAGAATGGGGTCATTGTAGAGTGGAAAATTCACATTTTTGCCCACCTTGAATTCCCCGGTTTTACCAGCTGCCTAGATTTTTTTACCAGTCAATGAAACGTACATTATTTTCAAGTGCACATGACTGGTTCTAACAGCAACAAAATTTTGAACACCCTGGGTCATTGTTCACTAACAGTCGATTTATCCTGATTATAGGTTGAGCAATAACACATTCCTTTTCCTTCCATCAGGACCTGTTGTATAGACGTGCACGGGCACTTGCAGATAACGAGAACTCCAATAAAGCTCTTGACAAGGCTCGTCTGAAGGGTAAGGACATCGCACAGGCTGAGGAAAACCAGAAGCAGTGTCTGCAGAAGTTTGACAAGCTCTCCGAGTCTGGCAAGAAAGGTGTTGTACAATCAAAACTTAATTTTATTTAACTGTCTAATAACCTTGATGAATTACTCTGATGATCTGAGTTTATAGTATATGAAGAGTTAAGATGGTGATTATAGATCTGGGCTGGTAGTCAAAAGATTGTAGGTTTAAATCCTGCAAGGAGCTATCTGTGAACTATTACCATTGTGCCTGGTAAGACGGTCAATTACAAAGAAATGTTGAAAAAATCATCAAAGTGGTTTAATTATCAGTTTTGATTTCTTGTGTTTGTAGAGCTCACCAGCTTCAAGGCGAGGCGTGTAGTAGCCTTCCGTAAGAACTTGATCGAGATGACTGAGCTGGAAATAAAACATGCCAAGGTGAGGAGGTTGAAGTGTTGTGTGTATCATTACATGTTTACTCGACAGTGTTCAGGTTCTCATGGAAAACCTGGTAATATGAGAGAATTTTAAAAATGTGCTTTCCAGGACTGGAAATGTCTATATTTAAATTTCTGTATTGAATATAAACTTGCGTTCAATAGATTGGGGTCAATAAGATTCTCTTTTAAAAGGAATTAATAGTGCAATGGTGCTATATATCGGCGTGCTGCCCACAAGGCTATCAGTGCCTACATATAGCGCCGTTGCACTACGGGTGTCCCGTGTTCGAATCCCGGCCTGTGGACCCTCTCTGTTTTATCCCACTTTGCTTCCTGTCATTACTATTGTCCTGTCAGAATAAAGGCAAAAATGCCAAAAATCAAATCTAAAAAAAATAGATCCTGGACCACAAAACCAGTCTTAAGTAGCACGGGTATATTTGTAGCAATAGCCAAAAATATATTGTATGGGTCAAAATTCTAGATTTTTCTTTTATGCCAAAAAGTCATTAGGATATTAAGTAAAGATCATGTTCCATGAAGATATTTTTTAAATTTCCTACCATAAATATATAAAAACTTACATTTTGATAAGTATTATGCATTGCTAAGGACTTCATTTGGACAACTTTAAAGGTGATTTTCTCAATATTTTGATTTTCCGAAAAAATTGACCCTTATGACTGGTTTTGTGGTCCAGGGT